AAGCAAAAAACATGTTTCTCGATCAAATCTTATGCAGATGTCAAATTCTTTGCTGGTGCATCTTGGTTTTATGCTCAAACTTGTGCCTTTTGGAAAAATTATCATTGAGTCTAAAATTTATTCAGTGCAAAAGACTTATAACTGAATTTTGTGCTTCTACACATTTAGTGAGGCCAAAATCATTTTTCTAGTAGTTCATCAGTTTGTTATATTGTGTAGAGATCTCGCTGACAGAATGTCAAAATGACATCCTTAAAGGAAGTGATCAGGAGGACATTGCAAGTTGAAACACATCACAATTAGTGTATTAAAACTAAAAACATGAAAACCTCACAGAATTAAATGGGTTGTATGTCAAAATATCACAATATATGGAAGGTAGTTTGAAAATGAGAATGTTGAGGTAGGTAAAAGGTGCTCAAGTTGATGGGCTAATTTTAAATCCAAGTCATCACTTAAGATGATGTGCTATATGATAAAATTGATTATAGAGAAGAGAAAGAGAGAATATATTTGACTAAAAGTAAGTCTGTAATACAAATTATTAACCTAGAATACACAAAGTAAGTTTTACATAGTAGGGCAACACAACATAAAGAAAATGCCTAAACTACCCTTAGTATTAATACTCTAACACCCCCTCTCAAACTCATGATGTGGTAAAAAACATTAAAAGTTTGCCAAGAAGAAATCTAAAACGTGCTATGGTATGAGACTTCGTAAAAAAATATGTTATCTGCATTGTAGAAGAAAGAAAGGGGAGAGTGATGGTGCCCTGCTGCGGATTATGACGCACAAAGTGACAATCAATCTCAATGTGTTTTGTGCGCTCATGGAAAACCGAGTTATGAGTAATCTGAATAGCACTAGTGTTGTTGCAGAACATAGGAGTAGGAGATGATACTGAAATGTCATAAAAACCTCTTCAGTTAAATCTCCATGTAGAAATGCATTTTTCACATCCATTTGAGACAAACTCCATTGTCGAATGGTAGCAATTACAATCACGGTGCGAACAGTAGTCATCTTGGCAATAGGAGCAAAAGTCTCATTATAATCTAGACCATATTCCTGAGCAAACCCCTTGACTACTAATCGAGCTTTATATCGTTTCACAGAACCATCTGACTTGGTTTTTATCTTATAAACCCACTTACAATCAATGGTGCATTTACCAGGCGGTAAAGGCACTAGCTCCCAGGCTCTGGCCTTATGTAAGGCAGACAACTCCTCATCCATAGCCTATTTCCAAAGTGGATCAATTAAAGCCTCCTTGTAGGAGGTAGGTTCAGATAGAGAATGAATAGAAGTAAGAAAAGAAAAAAAGTCAGAAGAATAACAAGTATTACTCCAACCAAATCTGTCTAAACATTTGCGAGAGCGCTGAGGATAACGTGGTGTATGATCCACAGTGTCTGAACCTGATTGGGCGGCCGGAGGAGAAAGGGGAGGCACTGCATCCAGAGAAGAGATAACTAGAGTCCTGCGAACATATGTATGCACAATAGGGGGACGAGTAATAGTCGGCTCAGAAGATGAAGAATCTGACACAGGTATATCACTAACATATGTGCATGAGGAACATTAGTAGGAAAGGGATCAATATATAGCAAGTCAGACTTATTTAATGAGGAAGAACTAGATAAAAATAACATGACGAGAGACATAAAGTTTGTGGGTGATGGGATCATAGCAACGATACCCTTTTTGACCCTCACCATAACCTAAAAATACACATAAAGTTGAACGGGCATAAAGTTTGGTACGAAGAACACTACGGAGCAAAACAAAATAAGTACAACCAAACACACGTAAAGAAAAATAGTTAGGTGGCTTACCACATAACTTTTCAACAGGAGAGATTCCAGAGGTGAGAATAGTAGGAATGGTGTTGATCAAATGAACTGTTGTCAAAACTGCTTCCCCCCAAAATGAGCTGGGAACATGTGCTAATAAAAGAAGAGAACGTGCTGTCTCTAAAATATAACGGTGTTTTCATTCGGCAACACCATTCTGCTCAGGTGTGTCAGTGCAAGAGGATTGATAATATAGACCATCAGATTTCAACAAATCATGAAAAGAAGTAAAGAGTATATTCACCTTCCTAATCACACCAAAAACATTTAATGACTGCGGAATATTGAGTGCATACCATGTTACGAAATGTAGTAAAGATGAAAAAGAATTCAGACCGATGTTTCATCAAGAATACCCAACAATACCTCGTGTAATCATTAATAAATGAAACATAATATTTGGACCCTCTTTGTGTAGGAATAGGAGCCGATCCCCATATATCAGAGTGAACAAGATCAAATGATACAGGAGAACAAGTAACACTGTATGCACAATAGGGGGACGAGTAATAGTCGGCTCAGAAGATGAAGAATCTGACACAGGTATATCACTAACATATGTGTCATGAGGAACATTAGTAGGAAAGGGATCAACATATAGCAAGTCAGACTTATTTAATGAGGAAGAACTAGATAAAAATAACATGACGAGAGACATAAAGTTTGTGGGTGATGGGATCATAGCAACGATACCCTTTTTGACCCTCACCATAACCTAGAAATACACATAAAGTTGAACGGGCATAAAGTTTGGTACGAAGAACACTACGGAGCAAAACAAAATAGGTACAACCAAACACACGTAAAGAAAAATAGTTAGGTGGCTTATCACATAACTTTTCAACAGGAGAGATTCCAGAGGTGAGAATAGTAGGAATGGTGTTGATCAAATGAACTGTTGTCAAAACTGCTTCCCCCCAAAATGAGCTGGGAACATGTGCTAATAAAAGAAGAGAACGTGCTGTCTTTAAAATATAACGGTGTTTTCGTTCGGCAACACCATTCTGCTCAGGTGTGTCAGTGCAAGAGGATTGATAATATAGACCATCAGATTTCAACAAATCATGAAAAGAAGTAAGAGTGTATTCACCTTTCTGATCACACCGAAAACATTTAATGACTGCGGAATATTGAGTGCATACCATGTTACGAAATGTAGTAAAGATGAAAAAGAATTCAGACCGATGTTTCATCAAGAATACCCAACAATACCTCGTGTAATCATCAATAAATAAAACATAATATTTGGACCCTCTTTGTGTAGGAATAGGAGCCGATCCCCATATATCAGAGTGAACAAGATCAAATGATACAGGAGAACAAGTAACACTTTTATTGAATGACAATGCACTAAATTTAGCCAACTTGCATCCACTACAATCAGAAATGTCATGGCTTGCTAAACTACCCAAACTACCAGTCGAAGCTAAAAATTTTAAACGAGAATAAGAAATATGACCAAGACGAGAATGTCATAAATAAAAACTAGATGACTCTGGACTCAAACGAAATGAAGATAAATCAACAGTAAAAGCAGTAGCAACAACATTTGAGACATGAAGCTCCTCCAACACATATAACCCACCCTTTCTACAGCCTATCTCAATCAGTTTCTTGGACCGTGGATCCTACACAACACAACCAGAGGAAGAGAAATAAACCAAAAATTCAAAATCAAATAGTTGACTGACTGAAAGTAAATTTAAAATAAGTTGAGGAATATAATAGACATCTGAAAGGATAAGGTTGGAAGAAATAATTGTCCCAACACCAGCTAATGACATTTGAGAACCATTGGCAACAAGGACAGATAAAGATGGAGGAGAAACAATAGATGCAAACAAAGAAGAGTCACTGGTCATATGATGTGTGGCACTTGAGTCAAAAACCCAGGCGGTTCGAGATATACCTGAAGGACCTGAGCTGAATGAACCTAAAGTGGAAGAAACTGTGAGAGCACCAGACTGATGAAGAGAGAGAAACTTTTGTAGCTGATCTGTAAGCATAGTCAGGTTAGGAGCTGATGAGGCTGACTCATCCATTGGTGGTGCTACGGCCGCTGTATGACAATCTCTAGACTTAAATGACTGATTTTGAGACCTTCGTGCATTCTTGTTCATCAACTTTGGACATTGAGCCTTCTAGTGGCCCTTTTTCACGACAGAAGCTAAACTCATCAGAAGCAACTCGACCTCGATATTTGTTTTGAGAATTAGAGGTCACTTTGAAGGGAACAGCCAATATAGTCTGATTTGGCAATGGAAGAAGACCCTTTCCAGAAAAGGTTTTAAGGCGAACCTCTTCAGCTAAGAGCTCGTTAACAACTGCATCCACTGAGGGGAGTGGGTGACGATGAAGAATAGAACCACGAAGTCCCTCAAAGTCATCTCTAAGGGCCATCAAGAATTGCATCAGCCTCTGTTCCTCTCTGAAAGTGTGATATGTCAGATTAGTGCTCAAGTCAGTGGGTTCAGTAAGTGCTAGCTGATCCCAGAAGCCAATCATAACTGAGTAGAATTCTTGTATGTTTTTGTCCCCTTGGCGCGCATCTCAAATCTCATGCTCTAATTGATACTTTTTGCACAATTTGACTGAACAAAAAGTGTGGCCAAATAGTCCCAAATTTCTTAGTTGTGCTAAACTTGGATAGATGAACCCCAATGGTCTGATCAACTGAGTTATTAATTCAAGTGATAATTTTTGCATTGTTGATATCCCAAGTACTCTTCAAGGCAGCATAATTTTCTACTTTGGTATCAGTTGGAGCCTGTGCAACACCACTAATATAATTCCCATCCCCAATAAATTTTTTTTCATAACATAAGTCCAATAAACATAATTTCCACCTATTAATCTCACACTAATTGCCTAAAGCGAATCAGAATTTCCACTTGCCATAGGTCAACAAAGAACGGGCACTAATAATTTGCAAGAATACACTCAAGTAAATTCCAGCAACAACCCAAAGTCAACAAGTCCAACCACCAGCAAGTCAACAAGGCAAAACAATCAAAACCCAATCTAGCTAGAAAACCCAGCAAGCCAAAAGTATTCCAAGAATTAAACAATCCAAAAAACAAATAGACCAATAGTCCAAAATTATATACTAACCTAACCAAGAAGCAATAGACCTGCAATGGTTACCAACGATAGAAACAAGGAGGCAGAAGGAAGAGAAGAAGAGAAGAGCATGCGCACAGCCGTCTCCTGCTGGTATGGTTTCATGTTCGGCAGAAAATCTGCTCGCAAGAAGTCACCGAGGCAGAAAGATTCACCAACCCAGCAATAGCAGAAGACATCGAGCAGAGGAGAAGAACACGCGCACAGCCGTTTCCTGCTGGTATGGTTTCATGTTCGGCAGAAAATCTGCTCACAAGAAGTCACCAAGGCAGAAAATCTGATCAGATTTGCAGAAAATCTGATCAGAAAATCTGATCGAAACTCTTCGCCGTGGCAATTCCGAACCCTCTCCTCCTCCTCCACTTTGCTTATGATGAAGCCATTGTATTGTTAATCATATTTGGATCTTAACATGCTCTGATACAATGATAAAATTGATCATAGAGAAGAGAAAGAGAAAATATATTTGACTAAAAGCAAGTCTGTAATACACATTATTAACCTAGAAATACACAAAGTAGGTCTTATATAGTAGGGCAACACAACATAAAGAAAATGCCTAAACTACCCTTAGTATTAATACTCTAACACTACATACTTTTCAGTTTGCAGCATTTCAATTTAGTAGAGTATCTACCATCAGTAATTATGCTTTGTGGAAGAAAAGAAAAGCCATGTGCATTCCTGTAGGTATAAATATCTCACATGCACATTTTCATGCATCTGCTTTTAGTGATCACTTAAGATGATGTGCTATATACTTTTCAGTTGGCAGCATTTCAATTTAGTAGAGTATCTACCATCAGTAATTATGCTTTGTGGAAGAAAAGAAAAGCAATGTGCATGCCTGCAGGTATAAATATCTCACATGCACATTTCTATGCATCTGCCTTTATCCAAGCAAGATAACAAGCCTGAATTGCATGAAGACGACTTACCTTTTGCCAATTATTATTACAACAGCCAGACCAACAACACATACAACATCTTGTGTCTGCATTATCCCTTGGAATTTTTGCCAGATGCTTCACCATTACATAACCCTCTTTCAACTTTGGGCCATACTCTTGTGAAAACGATAACTTAGAGACCTCCAAAAACTTGCAAACCTAAAGGTCAAAATGAATTGAGCACTTGTCTTAATATTTAGAACTTTAACATAACGTCGGCACTACAAAAAAAAAAAAAAATGAAATAGGTTTCAGAAGTATCAAGCAAGAAACTGAGAACAGAGGATGGTCAAACTTCACTTCATATGAAAAACTACAAATCAAGTGCAGCATTACAGATTTAGTAACAGGAAATAAACTAGCTTCTAATATACCTACTCTAGAGTGATCAGTAAAACTGAGACAATAGTTTGAGGGAACACCCAACGTTTGAGAGGTTTGCTTTTTTTCTTTGTGAGGAGGAGGGGTTTATAACTCTCTTTTCATAGCAGAAAAGGGAGACTATGGTCATTTATATGTTGTCAGAGTAATCAGGAATTCTGCAAATAATAAAGGAGCTTTTCAGGAACGTTAAGATTTTGTGAATATCCAAACTTAACTCAACCCAACCCACCAAAGCCTATATCCCAACTATTTGGAGTTGGATACATGAATCATGCTTCTCCATACTATTCTATCAACGCCATATTTCCATTAAACCATTAGCTATCATATTTGTTTGTACCACCTTGTTTAGAGTTAATTTCAACCCATCCCTACCTCTCGCATTACTACTGCTGTGTATTAAACCCTTCTTCCGCACTAGTACAGAAATAAGTCTTCCACGAATATGCCCAAACCACCTAAATCAATTCTCTATTAATGTGTCTCCTACTAGTGCTATTCTGCATTGTCACGAATATGCTCATTCTTAATCTTATACTTTCCGGTTTCACCACAATGTATCTTCACATACTCATTTCTGCAAGACTTGGTCTTTAAATGTGTCGTTTCTTAATCGGCTAACATTTTATACTATAATGCATTACTGGTCTAATGAGTGTCTTGTAAAAGTTACCTTTCAATCTAACATCAATCACGTAATACTTGAGATGTATTTCTCCACTTAGTACATCCTATTTTAATTAAATGATAAACACCATATCCAATCTCCACATCTGTATGGATAACTAACTCTAAAAACCGAAAATGTTCACTATTTGATATTTTTTGATCTTCAATCTACCTCCCAATTTGAATTTCTCATATCATTACAATTATATTATATATAATCCATTTCATATATATTTATCCTAAATTGTTTTTAGGCTAAAAGTTCTCCGTAAACTTCTGGTTTTTTGTGAATTCCGATGACAATTACATCAATCATTACTATATCATCGGCAAATAACATTCTCCATACAACCTCATTTTGAATGTGTCTAGTTAAGTCATCCATAATCAAGGTAAAAATATAGGACTAAATCGAACACTGATATAGGCCAATAGTGATTGGGAACTTACTACGTTCTCCTATAGTTGTTCTTACTGAAGTCACTACACTCTCGTATATTCTCACTATAATTAGTATATGTATTTGTAGCTCTCTTCTTCTATAAAACCCACTATATTATATCTCTACAGAATTTATCTAATATAAACCATATGAAGATCTTTTTTTTCCTCTGTACCTTTCCATTAGTCTCCTAAATAAATATATAGCTTCTATTGTTGGTCTTTCAGATATAAATCCAAATTGACTCTCAAATACAACTGTTTCATGTTAAACATTAACCAACCATTCCCTCCTAAAGTTTCATTACATTACTCTTTTTAGTACCTTAATTTTTTTAACTTTGAACATCCCTTTTATTTTTACACAGAGGTGCCATAATACTCTTCCTCCACTCTTTCGATATCTTCTTAATTGTTAGTGTCAGAGACTCAGAGCATCCAACCCAAAACCAATTGGCAATAACTGTAGTGGCCTCTCAAGTGCAGTGGTCTCTCAAGTATATAAATGCATTGGGTGTATTTTAATTTTTTGATAGGGGATAGCTTTCTTTACACTCTCTCACATTTGAACCGGAACTCGCACGTGGGCTAACAAATCATAGACTAAAGTCGAATCAAACAAGATTGGTAAACACACCAGAGAATTCAACTGGGTGAGAGACTAAGTCCACTAAGTATCGAAGGCCTAGTTCTGATACCATGTTAGAGCATCCAACCCAAAACTAATGGAAGTGACCCATTAGTGATCAATGCCTTTAGAGAAATGATTATTTACTACATAAGAGTTGTCCTATTAGGAGAGGACCTATAAACTTGACCATATAAGCTTATAGTCTATAGTATGCAAACAACAAAATAAAATTTTTGTGATTGCATATAAAATGATATGAAAAATTGGAGTAAAGCGCAAAACCTTGAAGAAAGTTAAAAATATTAGAGTGCGGCACACGGAACTCGTGAGATTGATCAAGAATTAGCTTTTAGTTGGGAAAAAGTAAACATATTGGAAGAGTAGTCAAACAAATTTGTTGTTTGTTTTGCAAATTATTTAAAAATTTTAAAGTTATAGATGACTTTTTGTCAAAGTAATTACGGTCATAAGTGCAGTGTGGTTTTATTTTATCCCCATAATTAAGTTCAAACTTAAGGTTTACAATTGAATTTGTTACTTAACATTATTTATCATAACCAACTTTTTACTTGCAAAGATTAATAGTAGAGCCCAAACTTTCTCCTTGTTTTCAATTTCTTAGCAACACTATTGGCCAATCAAAATTCTTTATTTTAGTGAACAATTACTTTTAGTCCATAGCTTGAATTTATGGGCACGAAGGAACAGATTGAGAAACCGACAATATCTCTAGCCCAAACTTAGGCTAATAAGATCGAATGGGTACTGGAAATAAAGACTGATTATTGAATTGTAGTAGCTAGTGATACTACTGATAAAATCTCGATGATGGCTCAAGAAGCATACTCAACAATAAATTGGGTGTCCAATGTCTGCAATATGTATATACGAGTATCAACTTTCAACAACATCTGTTAGTTTGATATTCCACATTATCAATGTTCATACTCTCAGTGCTAACAATGTAGAATACTTAGCATATTCTAATATTTGGTCTCTGCATATTGGTGGCTAGATGAAAAAATTGCAAATTAATGTCCTAAAGTTCTTTTCTTCAACATAACTTGCTTGAATATCAAATCTTCTAACAATATTGTTAGAATATATAGATATATATTTAGGAATGATATCCTTGTAGTAAGTCATTCTTACCGAGGAAACCAAAACGTCTATTTCCTTACCGAGGAAACCAAAAACACCAGTCTCTCAGGATTCTTGAATCAACGCCAACAATCGTGACCAATATCCCTCAGAAAACGAACTCCAATTACAACTCTAAATGTATTTTCACATTTATTAGTTGCTTTGAATTTCGAAGAAACAATCCAATTATTTTTGCTATTCCATTTTTTTTCCAAAATCATTAACTTCGTCATTGTGAAAAATCTGACATTGTAGAGGAGATTGCATATTCATCTTGAAGAACTTTCAGTTTGAAGCTTCGATCACCAGAATAGTTCCTTCACTAGCATTACCGAAATAGTCTATCACGCCATTGATTTCGCCCATTCCAATTTCTGAATCAAAACAATATTTTTGGCTCTATTATTTTCAGATTCATGATTTTCAAGATTTTATGCTGTTAAATTTTATAATCTTTAAATAACAAATTTAAGTAACTTGTCACATTTTTTTAATATGTTCTCATATTTTTTTAATATGTTGTCACATTATTTTTGAGAAACTTCTCACATTATTTTTTATGTCATTACATTATTTTTGAGTAAAATGTCATATTGTTTAATATGTTGTTACATTATTTTTAAATACCTTGCCACATTTTTTTAATATGTTGTCACATTATTTTTGAGTAACTTGTCGCATTATTTAATATGTTGTTAACTTGTCCCATTGATTTTTATGTTGTTACATTGTTTTCAAAAAGAATTCGATTCCAAAAAAAAAAGAGAGAGAGAGAAGACGAAAAAGAGAAAACGAAACCAACACGTCCAGTTAAGCAATTTCCGCTGGGATAAAAGAGAAAACAAAACTCTAGGATTCCCGTTCCCAAGGAACTAGCTAGGATTTTAGTTTCCGATATGTTGTGATAGGATTACACTGTTGTGTATGGAAGCTGTGATCCACAGACCCAAATTGCAAAGAAGAAAAAAAGAGGCGGGGGCAAACAGAGAATTATATGCAGAGATGAAGTTCATACTTAATTCTAGATAGTCCATAATTATCATACTGGGGGCACAATTAAATTAGCACAATTTTAGAGCTCTGTTTGGTACAGAGGTTTTTAATTTTCTATTCTCAAATAGCCGTCATGACATCTCCTTCAATTCGATGGTCTGGTTAGTGCATTGGATGCACACATGCATCTATCTGTGTTTTACCATGTGTAGCACACGCAAAAAAATTAGCACGATTCGATTAGAGCTTACAAATATCACAAGATTATGGCTACCAATGATTATCTAGCTCTCAATGCATGCAAGTTATTCCTGAATAGATTTCTGGCAAATAAGACCAGCACCATGAGCAGACATGACTAATTATGCTACAAGTAGAAATGCTCCAACTTTGAACATCAGCTAATTAGGGACTTAGGAGCAAAACAGTGCTGAAATGACCTGAAAGTATACCTCATTTCTTTTACTGGTATGAACAGATACGGGTTACAACAAGACATTTCTACACGTACAGAGCTAGTTTAAACAACATTTTAGGTGACATTAAAAAACTCGACCACTATGGTTGATATAATGCTTCCCATCACAAATTCTGAAAACAAAGACAAGTAATGAAAGTAACAATTCTATATGGATGTGAATTTCATTTGCTTTCTCTCATAAAAGCAATATAAACAAGGTGTCAAATGCAAAGAATAATGTATGCACCTCTTGGGAATTTACAATATCCATGTTTCCCAGAAAGTGATTGAGATACCCTTGCATTGCAGCTTTTGCTTTGTCCGAAATGGTCTGCTGCCTACCTAGTGCTGGGCGAATGATTGGTAAAGCAGCTCTGGATGGAACATATCTGCATAACCAACCGTTTCTTTAGAACACTATCAATCAAGATGGAAAAGAATATGTTGAGGGCCTTGAGGCTAAGCATCATTGAACATACTATACAGCAGTAATAATCACCTGTTTTTAGCACTCTCTTCACTATACAATAGAACAGCTCCATCATCAGGTTCATCATCATCACGCACCACTGCTGTCTGATCTCCAATTCCTATGTTTTGAAGCCATTCTTTCGCCTTTCATGGAAGTTCATAAAAAATAAAACTAATTCCGAAAGTGGACAAAAAAAATTGATGGGGATGCCAAAAGATTATATTTCAAAGTCAAGGATTTTGCAAACATACGTATAAAAATACAGATCCACAGTCAAGAATTCAGAGGGAAAAAAAAACCAATAAGGGCGAGGAAGAGTCACAAACTAAAAGCAAACCTGCTCTTGTTTCTCATGAAATTCCTCAATTATTGCACGTTTCTTCAACGCGAAGTGTAAATAAATAACTTGTGAAGCCTTTTTCAACAGACGCCACGTAAACTGTGTAATGCAGACAAAATCCCTTAATCATACCGTTAACCTATTTATCACACTGCCATAAAAAAAAAGAAAGAACAACGTAACAAAAGGTATTTCTGCAGAATTTAAAACCCTTTCACATTGTTTCCATAGTCCTAAAACTCACAAAGACATCCAAACTAAAGATGTGGTAAAAAACACCAAATTAAAACTGAAAGAGAACATATGACACACTAAAAGATAAATGACTCAATAACTCCAGCACTGAAACCGTTTGTCAGCACTAGCACACTCACCAATAGAAGCATAAGATGTGAATTTACAGCAAACATATCCAACAAAACCAGCATTTATGCATCAAATAAGACAAGAAAAACAAAGCACAATATAACACAATCAGGGATGACAAGGAAAACTAATATTGAGACAGATACAAAGTAAAATAAGTAGATGCCAATGTTTGTATTGATGCTAAAAAAAAAAGAGATACTTGTACAATGAGATATTATGCAGGATGTACAAGCTCATAAAGATTATCTCGTAGCAGAAGTTTTGATGGTGTGGACTAAAATTTCATAGAAGAGTCAAATGCCCATGCAAGGAGGGGGGCACTAGAAAAGGGTGCAGCCAACTGTTTCAAAAAACTGCCTTTTGGGTGCAGGTAACTGCCAAAATGTGCTTGACTGTCTCATCATTGCTCCGCCCTTCTCTATGGCTAGGCAATTTGCACATATGACCAATGAAGTGTCTATGCTAGTTCAGCCAAAGTGGTTTGACTCTTAAATTCTGGACTGTTAGAACATTAGCACCAAAAGCTTAAGATGCTGCTGAATAGGCCAAACATTGTATCTAAGCTCTCACTGTCCTATCTCATATACCATTCCTCTTGTATGAAGAGAGGGAGACAGTCAGACAGAACTGTGAGCAAAAAGACTCACAGCATGGTTGAATAGATGGAAAAGGATATACTTGGACGAAGACTCCCAAATACCAAAGCCCTAATACAATCTATACAACCACTTGTGCCAACCACTTATCCAATCATGGAGGTCCAAACAATACTTTTCAGGCTTTCGCTTAAGCCATTGGAAGTGATTATCATGGTAATTTTCTGTAGCTCATGTATGGATTAGGAAGGCAGTGTCATAGTTTCATGACTACTTTGAAATTTCTATTTAATAGCAGTAAGTGGTCCCTAATACTCTGTATGAAATATTCTCATTTACAGTTCTTGTCATTACCAAAAAGACTTGAACATAAATTTCTCATTAGGGTCATTCTACCAGCAGCCATATATAATAAAAATGCTTCCTAACTTTAGCAAGAGCATATCTACCTAATAAATTTAGTGAGAACATACACTCATACAGACTATCCGACAATAAATCATCCAATAAGAGGTAAAATCAACTACAAACACAGCATCAATAAAACAACCATTTATAACCGAAGTAATTAATGCATGGCATTAATCAAAAACCTTCAAAACTGACCACGAACTGATCATTTATGCAGTAAGTCACCAAAATCATATCATTAATTCCTAGAATATTCGCATTGATCAAAATATATCTCAAACCTCTTTAAACTCCACTAAGCTGCTAGAAAGTAGAAAAAACCAAAAATCAATTGGTAGCTATAAAACTTCATTTCCGGTATTAAATTATGCATTTAATTAACTACAAAGAGAAATAACCCAACCATACAAGAAAGTTTATTTGATATTCTACTTTCCACATTCTCTCTGCAACCAAACATAAATTCATGAAAAAGAGAGATTACCAAACCCGCCCACCAACACGCACACATATATACATTCATTACGCAAAACAGAGAGAGAGAGAAGAGAGAGATTGTTGCCTGTTTGTATTGGAGTTCGATGGTGTAAGACAGAAGCAAAGGGCTAATATCACTAGCGTCTGGTCTGGAGACCGACACGATCGTGGCCTTAGGCAATTCATCGAAAATTCTGGTGGTCTCAGGGCAGTAACGGAAAGAATGAGACGACGACATCGACCGTGGCAATGCGTCCCTATGCGACGGTAAATACTGTGAACCAATTCCGTCGATAAGTTTCTCCAACGACATTGCAATACACCAGAAGCCCTCTTTCTTTTCCAAGTAGAATCACCGATGAGCCCGTTTGTCATACCCTTCGAAACTCGTATGTGTATGTGTATGTGTCTGAGAGAGAGATTGTGGTCAACGTCCAAGTTTGCTCTTTGGTTGGCAGAAGCCCCGATTTCTTCGGTTATGGAGTTACGTATATAAGCGTGATTTATTTGGAGAAGAAATAGGTGACGCAGTTTAGAAGATGACCGATAGTTTCATGGAATTTTCGTGAATTTGGGATATGATGGTGACATATGCAGAAGAGGGTTAAGTTTTTGGGCTGTGAAGACCTTTATCAGGGTTGAGTTTACACGTGGCATCATTTGATTACATTGTCAATGGGGCAAATGTGAGACCCTTCGTGATGTTAGATTTTTGGAGTTGCGTGATCTCCATTTGAAATGGATGTAATGTACTGGGGTCAAAATAGAATTCCCTTCATTTTGTAAATCAAACAGGGTTAAGTTTCGAGGTCCTACTTTCAAAACTGTCCTAACTGAAAGTGTTGGAATGTCTGAATTACCCCCCTACTTCGCTGGATATACCTTAAAGGTTCAACTTCATTTTACCTCTCATATTCAATTTCATTTCAATCGAATTCCCGTCGTTCTACCTTTTCGAGTGAGTTGAAAAATAAAAGTGTCGACTCAATATAACAAGGATTTAGAGGAGGTGAAAATCTCTCTAAGCAAAGAAAAAATATCTAGAAAAAGTACTTGAATATGGTCCTTAAGCTCACACCCAACATTAATTATTTCATAATCTATTATTTAATTTCAATTTGTACCGATTATCTTGCACTTTCCAATTCCATGCTAAGTTCTAGATATCTGGTGGGTGAGTTTAATTTTAAATGCATTGCATTTAGTGCAAAACTTGATTAGTTAATTTCTTTTATTTTCTAACATACTACTTTCACTTGTGATTTTAAATTTAACACCATGCCTTAATTCAGACTTATGTGTAAAATTAAGTTTTATATCTTGAGAATATCTTAGACGATAGAAACGTAATGACTAATTTCTCAAAATCTAAAATTTGAGTATTTCTCTAGACATTTTGATGGACATGATACACATATTTTTGCAGAACGTTGTGCGTATAATGTTCAACGAAAATGTAGTTAAGAAAAGTATAGTTAGCAAAAGAAAATTAGGTCTTGCTGTGATCCATACAAAAGCAACATTCTTAATAGGTTAAGAGTATGGTATCGAAAGATGAACGATATAGAATGTAATTAAAAAAATATCTATTACAACTCAATATAATAAAGTTAATACCGATTTTAAAAAAAAATTCTTATTTCAACCTCATCCTTATTATTCTCCTTTTTTTTTTTTTTGGTTTGACCCATCTAAGGAACAACTTCAAGGGTACGATGGTAATTCACTCATGGTGGGACCATGGACTCAAAAGCTAATGTTGCACACGGAATGTCTCAATCAAGAATCGGTTTAAGAATATCCATATTTTTGTGCAGACAAAGGAGAATATGCTGAAAAGAGCATGGTGGATACTAGGGTATGATACCCATATGCCTAAAGGCAACATTCAAATAATAATAATAAAGATTTAAACACCACTACCCGGCATGTGTTTGGTAGTTGATGCTTATCTGTTCCACCTCACCTACTAATATTGGGAGTCAAATGGTTCTCCTGCACTACTGCAGGGTCCTCGTGCATCGGTGCACTACTGGGCTCGTGTAGAATGCCAACTTTTACAAACGCTAGCTAAGCCAATCGAATTTTGATTTGAATTCACTATGTCAAATATAAAATTGATATTTAGATTGATAATTCAAATCAACTATATAATAATCTTTGAATTCAAAAATGCTAATATTTGATCTGTTATAATTTAATGCTAATTGTATAAAGAATATTTAATGTATTTGAGTGATTACTTGATGATAATGAGCTAAAATTCAAATGAATTTGAAAAAAATTGATAGAATTGTTTTATTCGAATTGGAAGAAAAAATTAAGTCAGATTTTTTAAACATGTTTGATATATAAATTATGAAAATAAATGTGTTGGATAATTTGATTTAATTCGTATCAGAGTTTTAAATCGATCTTAACTATTAAATTTATTCCAAATTCAATCCATTGACACTTGAATAGATAGCTATACCGTAGTTCTCTTTGAACTCCATTCCTCATTTCTTAAATTTTTTATTTTTAAAATTTTTTTAAATCTTATGTGGCACCTTTGTATTTGTGGGTATGCTATTTACTCAATAATAATATCCTAAATTTTTGATTTTTTTTTTGTTTTAATTATTTAAACTCTTGGTGTATTTGGTCCATTACTCATCAAGTTTGATAACTGTCTCTAATCACTACATACTATAGAAATCAATTTGGGGGAGAGAGAGAGAGAGAGTACATTAATCTCATTAAACAAAATTATCACATGTGGCTTATGTTACTACTCCTATAAAATTACTTTAAATTTAAAATTTTCATCCTCCTTAACTCTCACTTAATTTAGTACATTAATGGATAAAAGTCCAAGATTTTTTTTTTTTGGGGGGGGGGGGGGGGGATGGGGATGGGGGTAAAATTGTGATGCAAGAAATTAAAAATATTGTGCATCAAGGACCTGTCGACTATGGGGGAAGACGAGGAGTTTGATGGGTGCACGCTATTGTATTATGATGTACATGATGAACGCTAACCTCAATAACAAAAACTTAAGATCAAATGTCATTCACAACCTTCAAAGTATACCTTTGGATGCAAAATGTCCTATTAATTGTTAATATTTTTAGTTTTAGCCCTAAACTATCTAAAATGTATTAATCAGCCCTTAATGCAACACACCCGTTAAAGCAAACAGAAAAACTTGGTTTAGAAGGGGGAAATTACTTTGTTAACCTCTAAGTTTATCCCTAATCCCCCATTAAACACCTTATAGTGTTTACTTTTTTTTTTTTGGTCTCAATCCCCAATAGTATTAACAAGCAAAAAAACTTCAACGTAAAAATTATTAAAAACTATGGAACTGTTTGGTTTGTGTCTCTAAAATAGTTTTATGTTCTAAAAAATAGTAAACTCTTGAGATGTTATTTGAATAGCAATTTTTAAAAATAATTTTTCAAAAAAAGTGGGAATTAAGAACAAAAACTAGAGTACATCATTTAGTTGTTTTCTGAGTTTGCAAACCAAAATAGAAAAATAAAGGGAAACAACCCTAAATTCTTTAATGAGGCCTCTTCTTCAAACCTCCTTAGCAACAAAACTTGTCATAGTATAAAAGGTTTTTTTTTTTTTTGGCTTGTCTCTCCCTTCCGGACTTTCTCTCGCTCTTTGACTTTCTCTCTCTACTTCAGTGAAACTAGACGTCTTCTTCATCTCTCCAACAATCGGAGAGCTCCGACGACTGAGAGAGAGCTCAGACGAGATCATCTTCTGCATCTTCTCTGACGACTGAGAGCCCTCTGGCAAGGTTCAGATCTGGTCTTCTCCGGCAAAAGGATATCACTCCAACAAGTTCCTTTAGATAATCTCATTATCCCATTCCCCCACTACACCTTTTAGGTTCTTGTACCAGTCTGTACTGTCTTTCTCTCCTTTGGTCGCTATCTTTTTCTCCTTTGGTCACTATGCAGCCAACATACGATGAAGCTTAAAGCCATTAACATCAGTCGATGGGTTCATCTACTCTGACGAAGCTCCGACAATGTAGTTTAATCAATGGCTAGATTTTTTTTTTTTTTTTATTTTATCAAATTTATTAGGGCAAATGGCACTTTGCCACCTGAAAGATTGCAAAAATTTTAGTTTACACCATGAAAGATTGATTGTTCCAAATTACACCCTCAATGTTAATATTTGGTGATAATGTGGCCCCAAGACTGATGGATGTCAAACTTGCTGTTAATCCAAGCTATGTCGTGAGATGTACATGTTAACCTAAAGGGCAATAATGTAAAAACACCACAAACCCAATTTTTCCAAATTGAAACACTTAGGCTACTCAAAATCCTTCGGCGAATCAAAACCCATTATGTACTTTCAGAAGGCCTCTATTGCTGCTTTGGTTGAAGGTTGTGAGTTGAAGCTTGAAAATTGAAAAATGTCTTGGGTGGTAAGGGAAGAGAAATACAGACAAGAAGCACCGAATTATGGTGAGAGATATATTGTGCAGTGTGAGTGTTTATGGTAAAAAGTTTTTATTCAGATTTGAGTGTATGTTTTTTGTATTATATTATTTAGAAATGGGTTTATGCTTTGTATTATATTATTTTTGTTTTGTTTTTACCTGATTCACGTGAGTGAAGTTGGTTGTATATATCACTGGGGTAATAAACAACTGGGTTGTTTTGTTTGTGGGGGCAGACTTTTAAATGTGAATGTTGTCTTTTTGTTTGGATTTTTCATTTTTTAATTGTGAATGTAGTCTTTTTGTTTGGATTTGGCTACAAACAATGGGGATGGTTTTTTCACAATCATAATGCATCATGGTGGCCAATTCCAAAATGGGAATGATCGAGTGTACGTTGAAGGGAGGGTGAATTACCTTGATTTGTGTCACATAGACCTGCTTTCTTTGATAGAACTGGAGAATATGTTGAAAACAATGGGATTGGGGTACTGTGGGATTGTCAGATTTCATCTTAGAATTCCTAATGGATGGAAAATTTTAGATAAAGATGAGGATGTTTTGGGTTTGGGCAGTTGGGTCAACTAGCACAAAGTGCTTAATGTATATGTTGAACACACCAAAGGAGAAGTCCTTGATCAGAGCCAGGCACAGTCAAATTGTATTCCTATTGCACAAAAGTTTGATGGGGGAAATAATGTGGGTGGTAGTGTTGTGGCTTCTGATAATGCATTGGACAGTGAGTCATCACAATATGAGGAACACTTAGACAACTCGACTTTAGATGATGAGTACTTCGATGACAATGAGTATGATTTGGATGGAGTACAACTGCATGATACAATGGTTGATGAAGATGTGAGACTAAGGAATGAAATAGAAAAAAGGGAAGTGGTTGGTAATGGCACTGGAAGAAACAAAAGGAAATGGGTTGAGAAAGATAATACAACAACAATGAGTACTGCTGAAGAGAATATTAGTGAAGATTGTGATTCAGATGAACTAAGAGGTATTCCTATGACGCCCCAAAATCTGGGTGTCCGTAATTACCTCGTTAATCACCCATCAATTCGTGGAATACCCGTGGATACCGTGTAAGTCGATATCACGCTAACTTAACAAAATTCGGTTAGAGTCTCCTTTGTACGAAAACCTTTACCCAAAACATAACTTGTGCAATCATACAACATTGATCACACCAGGTCTATTTATTCATACTCATATAACAACATGCAATTTTACATTAAAAATAGTTCATATGAATACGATTACAATCTTTTACATACATTACATGCCCAAAAACTAATTGACATCTTAAAACATAGTTTAAAAGCCACTTTTCGGCTTTTCTTCATCAACAAGGGCCTGAATTAGAGTCGTCTACCGGCGCATGTCCTGCACCAGAAATATTAACCGCATAAAGGGTGAGCTATGCTCAATCGGGTATCTCCTAAAGAGACTACTCCCCAACCTAGATGCATATGAAATGCTCACATGCAATTCACAAGCAACAATCACTCCATTCCAGAATATGCAATTCAACAATGGAATCCTCAATGTTAAATCATGATATGAGATGATACTCACACATGAAAGTTAACCTAAGCCTTTACCGGCTCCCTCAACACATGCAATGTCATGCATATGACCTTTTTAAATTACGGGTCTTTCTTGGGGTGAGTATTTATTAACTTACACTAACGGGCACCCAACTGACATGACATTAATGGACTTCTATCAATGGCTCCGCGTACACCGACACACTTTATGGACTCAATACTAATGGAGTGCGTATCCGAATCACTGGGTTTTGTACCTAAGGGAGAATCTAACCCTTCTTGCTAACCCCGACCCTATTTTCAATGCAAATCGTACAATTCAATTAAACCTCAGTCCAACTATCCTGAGCCCATGTATCATTCACCAAGAATGGTATTTGATCAAATCATGCACACACACCCACAATCATGTCAAATGCCTACGAATATGATGTTACCCGTGCATATGTAATATAAATGTACAATTGCATTTCATATCATTATGCAACTAGAATCTCAATTGTAATTACAATACCATGTTCAATATGTCATGAGCATATTATGAACAATTTAAATATCCAATCAACATTTTTCATGATAAATTACATTATAAGCATATAACCACTATTAACAACTTCAATGTCAATATATCATATACATATATTAACATTTTTCAACATCAAATTTCAAGTATATTATAACATAATCAATGCAAATAACACACTTAATCGACATAGACATTTAATCAAACACTTTCAAGGCACCAAATCATGTAAATACATAATATGCCCAATTTCATCACATATCTCAAGAAATCACAACAAATAATTTATACATACTCAATTCATGTTAGAATTGATTTTAACCATTCTTAATATCCATTTCTCACATTTCAAGTACCATAGGTAAGTGCTAAACATGAGATTACATCTCTAACACTCTACTCTTTCCATATATATTCCAAGCATGTTATAATATAACAAATGCAAATAACACACTTAATCCAAATAGACATTTTATCAAACACCTTCAAGTCATAAAATTATTTAACACATATTATGTCCAAATAATCACATTTATCAAGAAATCACAACAAGTAATTTTTACGTACTCAATTCATGCTAGAAATGATTTTAATCATTCTTAATACCCATTTTTCACATTTCAAGTACCTATACTTTTCATGAATTTATGAAACAAGTAAATTCTACAGACCCAATTCATTTAAGATTGGTTTAGCATATTTCTATACCTATTTCTCGCACTTTATTTACACTAGGAGTACATTAAATAAGAGAATTTATCTCAAGTCATGCTACTCATATAATATGGAGCCCTAGGTTGATAATAAACCTAATTAGGAAAAGAACCATACCTCTTGAAGTGTAAAACAATGGTAAGAAGGTCCAAGAACCCAAAACAAGCTCTACTCCAAACTTTCTCCAAAATTTTGTTCTTGTAATTTCACCAAAATCCAACTTTTTTGGTATGGTTTTGTAGCCCTCAACTGAGAGAACAATTTTTGTTCTTGGCTTGAGTTGTACCTATATTTTATTTTTTTTTGGATAATCTTATGAGTATGGGGAGAAATCTGAGTTTTCTCCCCCAATTTATATCTTTTAAATGTTTGGTCCTCATTGTGCCACACGTTCTTTATTCCTGGGTCCAACTTCGTCCCAAAATGATTAAATTTCATCTCGGTTCAAGTTTTAAATATTTTTATATGAAATTCTTTTAAATTATTTTTTAAAATTTATTTCATTTTTAGGTCATGTGATACTTAATTATCTCGTAAAACGTGAAAATTTAATTGTCTCAAAATTCAACAAAAATTGACTGGTAACTAGATTTCACGAGACGAATCCAACGGGTAGGTCCATTTAGTTATCTGAATTCTAGAAAAATTCAGGTTTTCAACTCGTACCGTAATGATAAATTACCATTTTACCCTTTTTCACAAAAATTCAAATTTATCCGAGTTTTACAATTCCAAACTCATCATCAAAGGAAGATGAAGATAAGGTGATATACCGAGTGTTTAATGCCAAGAATGATATGGGTGATCCACAATTCAAGTTAGATATGTTATTTAAAGACTCAAGTGAGTTCAGAGCTACTGTTAGACAACATTCTATTAAATAGGGTAAACAGATAAAATTTCTCAAAAATGAGAAATATAGGGTGAAGGTCATATGGAAAGCAGGTTGTGATTGGATGATTTATGTGTCATGCATGCAAGGGCATAAAACAATGCAAGTTAAAATATACATTAATAATCACAGCTGCAATAGATCTTTAAAGGTGAAGGCTGCAAATGCTCAGTGGCTAGCTAATACATATGTTGAGAGGATTGGATCAAATCCTACATGGCCAATGAAATCACTTAAGAAAATAGTTGAGAAGGAAAATATTTTGAAAATGCATAGAAGTCAGGTGTAGAGGGGAAAAATTAAAGCAACGACATATGTCAGTGAGACTAATAAGGAGTAATATGCTCTTCTCTAGGATTATTATGAAGAACTAAGGAGAACAAACCCAGGAACCACATGTATTATTAAAACCAAATCTATAGGGGTTGATTAAGTCAAATTCAAAAGATTATACATTTGTTTTGGTGCATTAAAGAGAGGTTTGATTAAAGGATGCAATCATTTAATTAGTGTTAATGAGTGTCATCTTAAGGGGGGACAAACTGGTATTTTATTGTCAGTTGTGGGGATTGACACCAATAACCAAATGTACCCTTTTGCCTTTGCTGTTGTGGAGAAAGAAAAGAAAAAGTCTTGGAATTTGTTCCTTCAACTGGTGAAAGACGACTTGAACATTTTTTATTCACATGCCTGGACATTTATCTTAGAAAAGCATAAGGTTAGATGTAATTGACTTCATTTTTTTTTACCTTTGTTTACATTTATATCTTTTATGTAGTCATTATTTGATTACCTTAGTTCTAGGGAATTTTAGATGCAATTGAAAATGTTTTTCCAAATTCTGCGCATACGTTTTGTGTAAGACACTTGTTCACGAACTTCAAAACAGAGCATAAGGGTTTAGCATTAAAGGATTTGTTGTGGAGGGCTGCTAAGTCTGCAAACATGGTTGATTTTAAAGGAGTAATGAATGAATTACATAGGGTTGATGAAGATGCATACAAGTGGTTGTGTGATAAATTAGCAGTCAATTAGTCTCGGTCTCACTTTAGTACATTTCCTAAATTTGACATTTTGTTAAATAATTTGTGTGAAAGTTTTAATGGCAACATAGTTGAGTCTAGGGACAAGCCTATTATAACAATGCTTGTGAAAATTAGAATGTGGCTATTGGAAAAAATACACAGGCAAAGAGATTACTTGAAGAACTATAGAGGCTCTATATGTCCTAACATACAAAAGAGATTAGAGTTTGTTAAAGCGAAGGCTGCATCTTTCATACCTACTTGGAATGGAGAACACAAATTTGAGGTAGTGGGGATGTATGGTGAGAAAAGAACTGTAAATGTGAAGATAGAAATTGCAGTTGTAGGAAGTGGGACTAAATTGGAATTCCATGCAAGCATGTAGTTTCTACTCTCAACTACTTGGGGTTATAGCCAAAGGATGATGTTGTTGATTGGTGCACTGTTGAAACATTTTTAAAGTGTTATAGTCATCTCATGAATAGATAGAATGCTTGGAAGGCCCAAGAAAGGTAAGAGGAGAGAAAATGATGAACCCCCATATGAAACTAAATTAAAGAGGAAGTACAAGGCCATGGAATGTGGTAAATGTGGATAGATTGAATATAATTAGAGAAAGTGCCACACTCCCGCTGCTGCAGAGAACAGTGACCCATCTCATGCACCAATACCACCAGTTGCTGTATCAGAAGTTGGCATCAGTCAAAAACGTCAAATTGCATCAAAAGTTTTTATCATTTATAGAGGTCCAAGGGTCAAGTTACTTGTAAGCATTATTGATGTTCAATTACATCATAAGGTATTTTTTTATTTTTTCTACAAACTTGGTTTAACTTATATTGTGCAATGTGGTCTATGGTCCAGATCAAAAGGAAAAATTATCCTTTAACTCCACAAGATGTTGTTAAGACTACTGCTAAGACTAATCAAAGAGGACCAACTACAACATGCAAAAAGGACCAACGACAACAGACCTCCCAGCAGTTGCACATGGTGGGACTAATAAAAAAGGACCAGCTAGGATTACTGCTGAGACTAATAAAAGAGGACCAAATGCAGCATACATTGGGTTCAAACTGCCAATTCTACCTCAACAGACCTCCCAAACATATTCAACATTTAGAGCTCCAATAAAGCTATTCATACCTCCCAGGCCAATACTACCTCAGCAAACCAAGTTAGCTTCACCATCATCATTCCAAATTGTGCATCACTCCCAGGGTAGTGCCAAAACTAGTAGTAGCAATAGTTCAACAAAAGGTTCATCATTTCAGCCAAAGAAGAAGACTACAACAAAGAAAAAATTAGGGGCAACTGGGAAACAATAATTGACTTTTGTGCTTCACACTTTTGTTCTTGTTTTTGGACATGGATAGCACACGTGT